GCTTGATGGTCTAGTGAGTAACGCTCTGTCATTTGAAGCGATTCCTGCCGAGCTCGAATCCCGGTGGAACAATATCACTCATTAGGACGCAGGCACATCCGGCTGACGAGTCCCCAAATAGGACGAAATGCTAGCTACTATCCATCATTACTATATAGCTCATGTTTCCTGATAATGCTGCTTTAATTACATCCTTGAATGTTCATTCTGTTCAGTTGTATCTTATTCACCATTTAGTATCCGTGGATATTATTATCTTTCACAGTCCATGATGATGTTGTAATTTCTTTCGTTCCCTAATGGTATATTTTACCTTGAACATTTTTTTATCTTATGTCTTTACCTCATTGTGAGAACTTACACGCATCCTTTATATTCCCCTTCTGGTAACTTGAACACACAGCTTTGTCGTTTATTACTGTTAACGTACTTCTTTGTAAAGTGCTTTGATAGCAATCAACCCGTAGATACCTGAAGAATCCAGGTTTGTATTTTATTAATAAATATTGATTTTTAATATAGAATGAACGGTATTTCAAACAAATCCTATGTTTGGGATTTTACATGTTATTCAAGCGTTTGGTCTATATTGTTGACTGGTCACTTGTTCGTTAGGATTCCCAATTACTTGGGGAGAAATTCACACCAACATTTATTGATTACGTATATCAGTATATTCGGTAAAGGTTTGGATTTCGTGACCAAAAACACATACACACAATGTAAGAAAAAACTTGCTTTAATTTTACTAAGATTATATTTAATTTAAGAACCAGAGTTATTTGTCTTGAAATTTTATGACAATCTGATTCATTAGTTAGATTTTAGGCGTGTACAGATGAAAGTGTAGATTATCAGAACAGGTAGGGCAAGGCAGAGAAGACGGGACTTCCTTCAGGTGAACGTACAGAAGACAGAGGTGATGAAGATACCCAACCAACAACCACAAGCACTAATCACCATCAACGTGAGGAATATAAAGGAAGTTGTGTCTCACATACCTAGGCAGCAACCTCTCAACTACAGGTGGCACAGATCAGATGTTAAAGCCAGGATCGGAAGACAGTGACACAGGCCTTTCTGCCTTAATCTATGGAGATCTACTGCACTGCACTCCGCTCCACTGCCCTCAGCATAAAGTGTGAACAAGATGCGGATTTTCCACACTAATTCAGTCAAGTCAGTCCTTCCATGTGATGGTTGAGAGACTTGGAGCATTATGAAAAGCATTTACAACAAACTGTAGACATACATCAACAGCTGCCGTCTACACTCGATACTAAAAACCAGATGGCGAGAAAGAATCAGCAACAAGAAACTCTGGCTGTCAACGAACTAACCAAGACACAGACTGAGAACACTGATTGGGGACACCATGCATGAGGCAAGGCCAGACCGTTGAGTGGAAGCCAAATGGGAAACGACGAGGTGAAGTTGACATGGAGGAGATGGTGTGAAGAAGAAATGAAAGCTTTTGGGAAGTCATGGAGCCAGCTTGAGAAGACTGGAAAGAAGAGAATGAAATGGTGATGTGCTACTGAAGCCCCTATGTTCCTATGTTCCACAAGGGACCTAAAGGATAAATAGTAATAGTATTGATAATAATAAAACATGAGATAGCAGAAATCACAGTAGCTCAGTATATTGTCAGTAAAACTAAGTCAATATTCCGGCCTGGTTTTATATGGGTCAAAGGAAATGTATCAGAAGTTCTACCCGTGAACATTTAATCGATTCCAACCATTTAGCCGACCCAAACAAGGATTTCAAGGTGATCTATCGAATTCACCCTACCATTTCACGTCTCCTGCTTGTTCAACTTTTAAAAACAACAGAGTTCTTGGCTATCCATGAACTGAAGACTGACCTTTGTGTGCAAAAGAAGTACGTACAGTCTTTGTCTCTACCTAGGCCTTAATTTATTTTAGTCTTGGTGGGCTTCATCCTTTTTCTTCTCGTTTTTCACCACCTCCCCCCATTGTTTGTATCAGATTAATCTTTGTACTCTTATATCATCATTATCACTCTGTTTTTTGTATTCATTTGTTTCCGCTATTATTTCATTTGATCTTCCTAATTATCACAACTCTTAACAAAACATTTTTAATTTACTCCAATCAACCTGTTGTCTCATTCACATTACCTAATCACTTTTGATTGTTTATTAACGTTCTCACCCCTCCCCCCGCTTTTAATCAATACGCACTTTATAAACGATTTGAAAGTCTTACGTAACCCCTTTTTGTTACCATTCGACCTTTACGTCATCAACTATCAACATTGTAATCATTATTATTGTTTCAACCCCTCATTATTTCAGTTAAATCTTCCTCAGGGATTACAGTCTTTAAACATCATATATATGGTTAACGCGTTCGCCGTGGAACCTGAAGGTCCTGAGTTCGACCCCTAGGCGGGTCGTTGGTGCGTACTGCTGAGCAGTCCCATACTAGTTGGACGAAACAGCTGTCCAGTGCTCCCAGATTTTCAATGGTCCCCCAACTGATGTCATTCCATGATGAATACTACTTCTAAATTAATGAAATCCTCATTCATCTCAAGACAAGACAGTAAAACTGTTGAAATGAATATGAGTAAATGATAGGATTTTACAGTCGTAAAGAAAAAGTCTCTTGTCAGTTGTAACAATTACTATATTTCTACCTCTGTGTTGAATGTAAAGTGACTGGTAAGAGTTTGACCAATTTAAAATCAAACAACCAAGTCATATTCTGATTTATAATGTTGTTCCTCAGTTGGAATAATCTTCATGGATGATTTAAAGTTTTTTTGGGATCAATTTGAATAAATTAATCAACTACTCTACTATAGAGCTGTCTATTCACTTTCAAAACTGTATGCATACATGAAGATGTACATTGATGGAGCACTAGAGAGCTATCATACTGTCTAGTTCTGAGTACTGACTGAATTCCATATATCATATTTTCAATATGACCACCAAGGCAAGAAGAGCCACTATCACGGTATACTTGGATGGATATTAGTTGATTGGAGGTAATCAACTGGAAGTCTTGCTTTCTCTAGGTTTCGTATTTATTGTCACTCGTCACCAAGGAACTGATGTATATTTGCCTATTAAAAAAGGAATAACACAGTTTACAGCTTTCTGATATTTCTTGCCTTCAGTTGATTCTCTACATGCTGTATTGTCACTTACGCCATACTTCACATAGTTACATTTCAGTAATGTAGTGTAGGTCAAAGATTCATCACAGGAATACTATCACACTTGTGAATAAAATCCATTTGTGTAAATCAAATGGAAATCCACTCAGGAACCTTGTGCATATTTGTGCAATAGGCGATTCATCATCATCATCAATATCAACATCGGACCAGGCATTACCACGTAACGCTCCCAGTTGCCACACCTCATATCACTACATCAAGTAAAAAGGCAGTGAGGTGAAGGATGAAGATAAGAGAATGCAGTCAAAAGATATTTAAAGTATTCAAAGAGAGAGAGAGAGAGAGAGAAAGGAAGAATGAGAAAGTGGTGAGATTCTGTATGGTGTCTTTAAGATGAAGATAATGTGTGTCTGTGTATACATCTGCACCACTGACATCGGTTCTCAGCCATATCACATAGAGTCTCCAACCACTCGTTCCACTTGTCCCCCCCACGGACACCAACCACCTAGTCTGCATCGACCAACATCGCTCAAACCAACAGTCAAACACTTCATACATTGGCGCCAAGATTTAGTCTGGTCACCTCCAGCCCTTTTCCAGCATCCACCTATTTCGGCCAACATTGTGTGATGAGGCAATTGGTGACTAGGCATATGTAACACATGTCCCAACCATTTCAGTCGATGAAGGTTCACAACCTCGTCAACTGACTTACCTCTTCTCCCTCCCTAAAACTCTACACCTGACTTCTGAGTTACTCATGTGGAATTTTATCTTTCTAGTGTTGAATATGACTACAGTTGCTGAAGCTACCACTTATCGATTTATCTCCCTCTGTCTGTGTATTCAATAGCTGATGTGCAGTTATCTAATTCACTGTGGAGTTGGAAAAAGGGTCGATTATTTCCCTTTATGGAACATTAAAAAAAAGACAAGTCTGTAGACAACTTATATTTGTCAGGCAACTGAAAAACGTTTATAACTGGTCGCTGACAATTTTCAAAAGAAATCTACTGGCTTTACGATATTTTTCATTTCCTCAGGACAGTCCTCAGCGATGAAAGACTCTTAGGGCTGTCCATAGACAAAAATATAAACATGTAAACTTTTTAACGAGGTAATCTTTATCAAAAAGAATGCTTCTTTCGAACTATTGACAGTTTGAGAGTACTGGACAGCTGCTTCATTCTGGTATGGGACTCCGAAGTGGTGCACACTCATAACCCTACCAGGGATTGAACCAGATACATTCAGGTTTTATGACGAGCACGTTACCAGTGAGCTACAGTCGAGGGCTGTTATATTTTCGTACGCTAATAGTTATATATATATTGAGGAACGAATATAATACGCACGCTTAGCTGACAGCTAACACAGTATGCAAGAGACACTGACCACAACCCTGAGACGATAATACAGAGAAGAACGAAGCTGGCAGATGGGAGAGTGTATTACTTTGAGAATATAATATAATAACGAATCCTGTAACACGTGACTATGTACACACATGAAAATGACCTTGTCCTCAATTTGAGACATCTGCATGATAAGAGTAAAGATTAACCAATCAGCGATTTACATCAGGATGGGGGTGGGAAATGGACTATTAGTCATGTGGTAAAAGAAATGGTGTGTGAATGACACGTTGAAATGTTCAGATCAATAATAATGTTTTATACAAAACTGAGGCCTTACAACAAAAAGGGACAAAATGCGCGTGCTGGATTCTTCTGTTAGACACAAGCAATGAAATTCGTATTCAAGTTCAATTTATCATTTATGCTATAGTTATGAAAAACTTTCCTCAATATTATATGACTTGCACCTGCATAACATCTTATAAACTAACATGTATTATACTTCATCAGGTTGTATGAACATAATTGAAAGGAAAAGAGAAGAAAAACGTCTAGAAACAAACCTAATTTATGTTTTTCTTTTATCACTTTCTTTTTGGCAATTTTAGCATTTCTATGTGAAGTAGAAATCTCTTTAGCTAATTCATTGATTGTAGCCTGTTGTTGCTTCTTTTTATTCATTAATTCCATTAACTTTTGATTTTTTTCACTTTTCAGTTGATTAACATTACTACGTCGTTTACAATAAAGATTATATTTAGCAATTGATGAAGCTTCTTCATGACTTATCATTGTATTCAGACGATTATGTTCCATTTGTTTTAATTGATTCAATTTGATTTTAGCCTCTTCTTCCGTTTTCCATGCTTGATAAGCTACATCTGTAAATGCTCCTGATTCTAGTTCATAGAGTCTACAGAAAGTGTAACATAAAGTATTAAAAGTGACCTTGATTACGAATTTTAGCATTGGTGAGTTCACATGACCTTGAAAAAACAGGCAGGTTTTAGACTTGGTTGAGAGTGTATCGATGATAATTTCACTCTCCCAAAGGTTTTGAAACACAGACGTACTTTACCGACGACCAAAACTTGCCACATTTGTTGACCTCAAGGCAGCATTTGACTCTGTCGATGGTGGGATGTTGTGGCAGTGCCTGACTATGAAGGCAGTAGTAAGCAAGAATCTAACCTAAATCAAACCTCTCCTTCAAAAACCATACAGCCATGTCAGGATTTATGAAACGTTATCATGTCAACTGATGACAACTAATGCTGTCCGTCAGCAGTGTCTACTGTAACAGACGTACGTCTGACTTCATAGATACTGATCTACATCATTGAATTCATCTGGTTGATTCGAAGTGTGAAGATGATCTTCTTCTGCTAGATGAAACCACTGACGAAATGAAAGTTTTCTAGACATATTCAGCAGGAATCTGAGTATGTTTGGCTAGCATGCATTTCACTGGCACCTGTCAAGTGTAAGATGATACTCCTGGACTATTCGTCTGCAAATACTCACAGATTAATGATAGGGAGTGAAGTGGTGGAATGTGTCGACCAATTCACTTGCTCAGGGAGTTGCAATAGCTTAAGTGGGTTAGTTGCTGACGAAAACTTAACTCGGATACAGAAGGCCCGTTCTACATTTACAGACTTTCACCATCTGTAGTTTCGACTAGCTAGGAAGCCGAGTATCTATGTCAGGATGAGTATACTGCGCTGCAGTCGGTTCTGTCCTGTGAGATATAAACGTTGAAAAAAGAACACATGAAACGATTACAGGGTTTTGATCATTCGATTGCGCACATTTGATGGAAACATCGTGTGAGTGATGTTGAAGTCAGGCAAAGGGTACTAGGCAAGACAAACAAGTCGACTAATAAGGTTGTGAACATTCTGTCTGTTTGTTCCATTGCAACTTTTATGACCCGACATGTATAAAATCACCGATTACAAACTTAGTTCCAAATTGAAAAAACATTCCATCCGGTGAATTGATCCATAACATTTTCCATAAAATTTTGAAGCCATAACAACTTAAATGTAAAATTTACTGAAAATACGAAAAATTTCCATCAAAGTTACTGGATTACAGACCTTCATTTGAGTTTCATCTCTGTATGGCTTATTAGCATTTTCAGACCAAGCAAGACATAAATTCTGCTCATTAGCTTCTCAACTTATCGGTTTCACAGAACTAGTAAACAATAACTCTAGGAAACTCGTCTTTTCTTCAACTTTATTTTCATTTTAACTATCTGATATAGCAGCCGTGATTTGGTAGATCAGTATTGATGCTGGATGATGAGTGAAGGTGAAATGGAAATCTGGACCACGGCCGGATTCGAACCAGTAATCGTTTGGTTTCACTTCCCCTTCAATCATCACCCAGTATCAATACAAGTCTGCTACGCCACGGTTGCTACCTCACATAGTCAAAAAGATAATCAATACGATGCTCCTTCCCTCTTATTCAGTTAGATGTAGATACGGATGAGAAGTCCTGACTAGACAATGAAGATGAATATGACACATCATGAATTCATATGGTAGTCGGGGAAAGCCCATAATGATTGGAGTGAAATAAAAATGTGGTCAGCAGTTGGACCTCGTAGTTCAGTTAATAGAGCATCAGGCCAGAAACCCAGTGGTCGCTGGTTCGAATCTGGTTATGGTTCAAATTTTCATTTCACTTCCAATCACCACCCTGTATTAACTTTATTTATATTGACAGCCAGTCTCTTTTTACAAACAAGTGACAAAATCTACAGTCTATACATTTAACCACAAATTATATACACTAATTGCGTTAGTCTAAGGCGTCTGAGATGCGAATAAATTATGAGTCGTAAATAATAAGTTTGTAGCTCATAAGCTGTACAACTACATACTTCAGGTCTCTAATAAAACTGAGTTTTTCCTAAAGTTGTTTGGGATCATGCGTGCACAGTGATGAGGAGTCCCATTACTATTATTATTATTATTATTATTTTTTCTCTTGGGTTCCTAATGGAACATAGGGCTTCAGTAGTACGGCTCCAGTGCACTCTGTTCTCTCCAGTCTTTTCAACCTCGCTCCACGACTGCCCACAAGCTTTCATTTCTTCCTCACACCACCTCCTTCATCTCACCCTCACCTCGGACAACCAACTCGTCGTTTTCCATCTGGGTTCCACTCGAGCACCTGGTCTGGTGCGTGATGTCCCCAATCGGCCTTCTCAGTGTATGCCCAATCCATCTCCACTTCCTTCCAGTGCATATTTGTTGGATGATAGGTTCTTGTTTGCTTTGTTGCCAGAGTTCCTTGTTGTTTATTCTTTCTGGCCACCTGATCTTCAGTATCGAGCCAGCATAGGCGGCAGCTGTTGATCAATGTTTGTAGTTTGTTGGAAGTACTTTTCGTAACGCGTCAAGTTTATGAACCATATAGCATTGGTGTTGAAAATCGGGATCTTGTTCTCACTTTATGCTGAGTGCAGTAGATCTCCACACTGATTTCAGATTAATGAAAGCTTGTCTTGCTGTCTTTCCGATCCTGACTGGTTTTGACATCTTCGTCTGTGCCTGCGCCGCCGCCGCCTGTAGTTGAAACGATGCTGCATCCCAGGTAGGTGTAGGTCAAAGAGACTACTTCCTTTAGGTTTCTCCCGTTAATGGTGATTGGTGCCTCCTCTTGTTGATGCTGTTGTTGGCTGGGTATCTTCATCACCTCCGTCTCCTCTACGTTCAATTGAAGTCCCGTCTTCGCTGCCTCTTCTGTCAACCTGTTAGTTTTCGCCTGTAGACCTTCGAGTTTGTGCGACATTAGACACAAATCATCGTCGGCGAAATCCAAATCTTCTAGACTCTTCCCATCGGTGAAACAGCGGATGCCCCCCTTCTCACAGCTCCTCACAGTTTGCTGCGTGATCCAGTCCACCACAATCAGGAATATCATGGGTGATAGTAGGCGGCAACCATGTCTTACTCCTGTCTTCACTTCAAAGGCATCACTGAGCTTTCCACTACGGATCACTTGGCACTTCATATAGCTGTTGAATGAGGTTGATGAAGACTAGTGGCACTCCGTAGTATTGAAGCAACTGCCAAATGACTTGTTGGTTGACGCAGTCGAAGGCCTTTTCAAAGTCAATAAACTTGAGGTAGAGAGTTGACTTCCATTCTATACTGTGTTGTCTGATGATGCGTAGCGTTGTAATTTGATCTGCATCCCATACTATGATGAAACAGCTATCCAGTGCTCTCAAGATTCTAATGTTCCTCCAACTAATGTCAGTCTGTGATGAATAACAATTTGAAATCAATCCCTAAATTCCTATAAATACCTTAATTCAACAATAAACAGTTTGTTAAGCGTATCTACCTGCTTCAAACCCTGGTATCTTACTAAATATAATAAAAAGCCAATGATCTCATAAAATTAGTTAACTGAAATGTAAAAACGGATAAACTTGAAAGATATTCATCTAAATCGATAATATGCATAGAATTATTGATCTGTACACTATCTAGAAATCAGTTTTCTCATATAATTCATTTCATTCCTTAGTTGATTGCATAATAGTTCAAGAAGTCCAATAATTACGTTTTGAATCGTAACGTCATATGATCACATTTAGATTGGATGTTAATCTTTAGAATAATTACTGTTAATTGTAATTATCTTGCTTTTAATCTCTTAACCAACTATTTTCAATTATATAATTCATATAATATTCAATGAAATAATTTGTTTAAATCAATTTTTCAACTTATTCAATGTGTTCAACAGAAATATGAATTAATCTCACTTATTTCTTTGCTCTTTCTCTCTATCCAAATAAACTTTCCATTCATGTAGAATAGTAACAATATTTGTATTGATTACAACAGTCTTATTTAATCCAATTAGATAATTCTTTTGTTTCATTATATTTTTATTACTTTCTGAATCATTTTTACCTTCTGTAGTAAATGTACAGTTGTTAATTATCATCTGAATGAAGATCATTTTGTTGTTGTATACTATTTGTATTATTATGAATGACTTCTGTACATCTTGACCTAAGTCTATCACTTTGAATCTTCAATTTCTTAACCTATTAGTAAAATATATCGAAGAAATAAACAGTAATAAACTTACAGGATCATATATGTCAAAAGATACATCATTAAACCAGGGTATAAACTTGTTATGATTTGAAAACTCCTATGTAGTATGGCCGCTAACAATGCATGAATATCGAATGTCAACCAACTTGATCCCCTACTCTTACTAATTACTGGAGAAGATACCATGAACCTGAAGAAGTGGGTATTCGACCCCCAAAAACCGAAGATCAAAATCAAATGAAAATATATTGAATATATTTTCGAGGGAGTTGTGGAGATTTGGAAATATTTCAAGTTGTTATTCATCGTAGACTGACATCAGTTGGAGGAACAAAGGAAGCCTGGGAGCACTAGACAGCTGTTTCGTCCAACCAGTATGGGACTCCTGAGCAGTGCGCATCCATGACCCTGCCAGGGATCAAACCCGCGACATTTAGGTTCCGTGGCCAGCACGTTACCATTGAAGTTGGAAATATGGGGCATTGGCTCAGTGGTAATGTGCTGGCCACGGAGCCTGAATGTCCCGGGTTCGATCCCTGGCAGGGTCATGGGTGCGCACTACTAAGGAGTCCCATACTGGTTGGCCGAAACAGCTGTCCAGTGCTCCCAGGTTTCCTTTATTCCTCCAACTGATTTCAGTCTACAATGAATAACAACTTGAAATATTTCCAAATCTCCACAACTCCCTCGAAAATATATTCAATATATTTTCATTTGATTTTGATCTTCGGTTTTTGGGGGTCGAATACCCACTTCTTCAGGTTCATGGTATCTTCTCCAGTAATTAGTAAGAGTAGGGGATCAAGTTGGTTGACATTCGATATTCATGCATTGTTAGCGGCCATACTACATAGGAGTTTTCAAATCATAACAAGTTTATACCCTGGTTTAATGATGTATCTTTTGACATATATGATCCTGTAAGTTTATTACTGTTTATTTCTTCGATATATTTTACTAATAGGTTAAGAAATTGAAGATTCAAAGTGATAGACTTAGGTCAAGATGTACAGAAGTCATTCATAATAATACAAATAGTATACAACAACAAAATGATCTTCATTCAGATGATAATTAACAACTGTACATTTACTACAGAAGGTAAAAATGATTCAGAAAGTAATAAAAATATAATGAAACAAAAGAATTATCTAATTGGATTAAATAAGACTGTTGTAATCAATACAAATATTGTTACTATTCTACATGAATGGAAAGTTTATTTGGATAGAGAGAAAGAGCAAAGAAATAAGTGAGATTAATTCATATTTCTGTTGAACACATTGAATAAGTTGAAAAATTGATTTAAACAAATTATTTCATTGAATATTATATGAATTATATAATTGAAAATAGTTGGTTAAGAGATTAAAAGCAAGATAATTACAATTAACAGTAATTATTCTAAAGATTAACATCCAATCTAAATGTGATCATATGACGTTACGATTCAAAACGTAATTATTGGACTTCTTGAACTATTATGCAATCAACTAAGGAATGAAATGAATTATATGAGAAAACTGATTTCTAGATAGTGTACAGATCAATAATTCTATGCATATTATCGATTTAGATGAATATCTTTCAAGTTTATCCGTTTTTACATTTCAGTTAACTAATTTTATGAGATCATTGGCTTTTTATTATATTTAGTAAGATACCAGGGTTTGAAGCAGGTAGATACGCTTAACAAACTGTTTATTGTTGAATTAAGGTATTTATAGGAATTTAGGGATTGATTTCAAATTGTTATTCATCACAGACTGACATTAGTTGGAGGAACATTAGAATCTTGAGAGCACTGGATAGCTGTTTCATCATAGTATGGGATGCAGATCAAATTACAACGCTACGCATCATCAGACAACACAGTATAGAATGGAAGTCAACTCTCTACCTCAAGTTTATTGACTTTGAAAAGGCCTTCGACTGCGTCAACCAACAAGTCATTTGGCAGTTGCTTCAATACTACGGAGTGCCACTAGTCTTCATCAACCTCATTCAACAGCTATATGAAGTGCCAAGTGATCCGTAGTGGAAAGCTCAGTGATGCCTTTGAAGTGAAGACAGGAGTAAGACATGGTTGCCGCCTACTATCACCCATGATATTCCTGATTGTGGTGGACTGGATCACGCAGCAAACTGTGAGGAGCTGTGAGAAGGGGGGCATCCGCTGTTTCACCGATGAGAAGAGTCTAGAAGATTTGGATTTCGCCGACGATGATTTGTGTCTAATGTCGCACAAACTCGAAGGTCTACAGGCGAAAACTAACAGGTTGACAGAAGAGGCAGCGAAGACGGGACTTCAATTGAACGTAGAGGAGACGGAGGTGATGAAGATACCCAGCCAACAACAGCATCAACAAGAGGAGGCACCAATCACCATTAACGGGAGAAACCTAAAGGAAGTAGTCTCTTTGACCTACACCTACCTGGGATGCAGCATCGTTTCAACTACAGGTGGCGGCGGCGCAGGCACAGACGAAGATGTCAAAACCAGTCAGGATCGGAAAGACAGCAAGACAAGCTTTCATTAATCTGAAATCAGTGTGGAGATCTACTGCACTCAGCATAAAGTGAGAACAAGATCCCGATTTTCAACACCAATGCTATGTGGTTCATTAACTTGACGCGTTACGAAAAGTACTTCCAACAAACTACAAACATTGATCAACAGCTGCCGCCTACGCTGGCTCGATACTGAAGATCAGATGGCCAGAAAGAATAAACAACAAGGAACTCTGGCAACAAACCAAACAAGAACCTATCATCCAACAAATATGCATTGGAAGGAAGTGGAGATGGATTGGGCATACACTGAGAAGGCCGATTGGGGACATCACGCACCAGACCAGGTCGTCTAGTGGAATCCAGATGGAAAACGACGAGTTGGTTGTCCGAGGTGAGGGTGAGATGAAGGAGGTGGTGTGAGGAAGAAATGAAAGCTTGTGGGCAGTCGTGGAGCGAGGTTGAAAAGACTGGAGAGAACAGAGTGCACTGGAGCCGTACTACTGAAGCCCTATGTTCCATTAGGAACCCAAGAGAAAAATAATAATAATAATAATAGTAATGGGACTCCTCATCACTGCGCACGCATGATCTCAAACAACTTTAGGAAAAACTCAGTTTTATTAGAGACCTGAAGTATGTAGTTGTACAGCTTATGAGCTACAAACTTATTATTTACGACTTCATAATTTATTCGCATCTCAGACGCCTTAGACTAACGCAATTAGTGTATATAATTTGTGGTTAAATGTATAGACTGTAGATTTTGTCACTTGTTTGTAAAAAGAGACTGGCTGTCAATATAAATAAAGTTAATAGAGGGTGGTGATTGGAAGTGAAATGAAAATTTGAACCATAACCAGATTCGAACCAGCGACCACTGGGTTTCTGGCCTGATGCTCTATTAACTGAACTACGAGGTCCAACTGCTGACCACATTTTTATTTCACTCCAATCATTATGGGCTTTTCCCGACTACCATATGAATTCATGATGTGTCATATTCATCTTCATTGTCTAGTCAGGACTTCTCATCCGTATCTACATCTAACTGAATAAGAGGGAAGGAGCATCGTATTGATTATCTTTTTGACTATGTGAGGTAGCAACCGTGGCGTAGCAGACTTGTATTGATACTGGGTGATGATTGAAGGGGAAGTGAAACCAAACGATTACTGGTTCGAATCCGGCCGCAGTCCAGATTTCCATTTCACCTTCACTCATCATCCAGCATCAATACTGATCTACCAAATCACGGCTGCTATATCAGATAGTTAAAATGAAAATAAAGTTGAAGAAAAGACGAGTTTCCTAGAGTTATTGTTTACTAGTTCTGTGAAACCGATAAGTTGAGAAGCTAATGAGCAGAATTTATGTCTTGCTTGGTCTGAAAATGCTAATAAGCCATACAGAGATGAAACTCAAATGAAGGTCTGTAATCCAGTAACTTTGATGGAAATTTTTCGTATTTTCAGTAAATTTTACATTTAAGTTGTTATGGCTTCAAAATTTTATGGAAAATGTTATGGATCAATTCACCGGATGGAATGTTTTTTCAATTTGGAACTAAGTTTGTAATCGGTGATTTTATACATGTCGGGTCATAAAAGTTACAATGGAACAAACAGACAGAATGTTCACAACCTTATTAGTCGACTTGTTTGTCTTGCCTAGTACCCTTTGCCTGACTTCAACATCACTCACACGATGTTTCCATCAAATGTGCGCAATCGAATGATCAAAACCCTGTAATCGTTTCATGTGTTCTTTTTTCAACGTTTATATCTCACAGGACAGAACCGACTGCAGCGCAGTATACTCATCCTGACATAGATACTCGGCTTCCTAGCTAGTCGAAACTACAGATGGTGAAAGTCTGTAAATGTAGAACGGGCCTTCTGTATCCGAGTTAAGTTTTCGTCAGCAACTAACCCATTTAAGCTATTGCAACTCCCTAAGCAAGTGAATTGGTCGACACATTCCACCACTTCACTCCCTATCATTAATCTGTGAGTATTTGCAGACGAATAGTCCAGGAGTATCATCTTACACTTGACAGGTGCCAGTGAAATGCATGCTAGCCAAACATACTCAGATTCCTGCTGAATATGTCTAGAAAACTTTCATTTCGTCAGTGCTTTCATCTAGCAGAAGAAGATCATCTTCACACTTCGAATCAACCAGATGAATTCAATGATGTAGATCAGTATCTATGAAGTCAGACGTACGTCTGTTACAGTAGACACTGCTGACGGACAGCATTAGTTGTCATCAGTTGACATGATAACGTTTCATAAATCCTGACATGGCTGTATGGTTTTTGAAGGAGAGGTTTGATTTAGGTTAGATTCTTGCTTACTACTGCCTTCATAGTCAGGCACTGCCACAACATCCCACCATCGACAGAGTCAAATGCTGCCTTGAGGTCAACAAATGTGGCAAGTTTTGGTCGTCGGTAAAGTACGTCTGTGTTTCAAA